TCAATTCATCCATCAACTTCTTCAACATCTGCCTATATCAACAATTCTTATGCTAGAACCAAAACTTCAAGAATTGAAAAGAGAACGTGTTGATTGTTCTTGGCTGCATGGATCTAGATCTTATGTTTCGGATTGAGCAACACACTCCTCTTACAGACAAAGTTCATCTGATGAAAAGAGGAACTTTGAGAAGTGGGATCGCTCGCATGAGTCTAATGATCATTAAGCGAGGCATTCCGGAAGCCTTTAGAGGCACAGTATCTGAAGAAGTAACTAATGCCAAGGATTTCCTTACTGAAATTGAGAAACATTTTGCGAAAAACGATAAGGCTTAAACAATCACACTTTTACAATGCTTGATTTCAATAAGGTATAAAGACAAAGGAAATATAAGGGAGTACATCATGAAAATGTCTCACACTATTTCTAAATTTAAGGTACTAAAACTTGAGTTGTCTGATGACTTGCTCGTACATTTGGTATTGATCTCGCTTCCTGTACAATTCAGTCAATTTAAGGTCAGTTATAACTGCCTAAGGAGAAATGGCCTCTAGATGAGCTCATTTCATATTGTGTGTAAGAGGAAAAAAGGTTGAAGCAAGACAAAACTGAAAATATTCATTTGGCAAGTACTTCTAAGGCAAGTACCTCTAAGGACAAGTAATAAAGAATAAGGAAGTTGCATCTGGTTCGATTTAAAATAAACAGTGAAATAAATTTAGCTTTAACTTTTGTGAAAATTCGGGATATATAAAGAGAGACTGTACTAAATACCACACTTAGCATGTAAAGAAAAGTACATTTCTCACTTTAGTTTGTTTTGAGGTAAATTTAGTGTCAATGCCTAGACACACTTGGTGGATAAATTTCAGTACCACTACTCACATAAGTGTGTCTATGCAGGGTTGTCTGAGGTGCCAAAACCAATTGATGCTGAAAGATCCATTTATTTGGGGCGATGGCAAATCAGTTAAGATTGAGGCTATAGGGAATTTAGGTTATCATTAAAGACTAAGTATTATTTGGATTTGAAAGAGACATTTGCAGTACTGTCCTTTTGGATGAAATTTGGTTTCTATTTCTATATTAAACAAATTTAATTACTCTTGTTCAATTGAAAATAGTCAGTTTGATCATTTTCTTAATTCAAATGTTGTGGGTACCAGTTCTTTATCTGGTAACGATAACCTATATTTGTTTAATACGGTTGCCTCTTACAAAGAAATCTTGTAGGTGAATCTGCGTGGTATTAAAACATAAAGTAACCAATGGGAATTCTACTTTGCTATGGCACAAGCGATTAGGTCACTTCTCTCACAAGAGAATGAAAATATTGTGTCAGAAAGATTTTTTGATTCCCTTAATTTTTTCAGAGTTAAGTGTTTATGTTAATTGTATTGAGGGAAAACAAACAAACATA